AACCATGAATACAAATGAGCAATGAAGTTTTCTTTTGATGTCTAAAATTAAAAAAATACATAGCATATAAACCATTAAAAATAAATATAAAAATAAAGTAAACTATAGTTTTACTAACTAAGGCAAACAACGTTAAAGAGCACAAAAATATTTAGAGCACATAAATATTTTTGTGCTCTTTAACATTGTTTGCCTTAGTTTGTATTTTAGCACAAAGGTTGTCCACTTGTGTATTTATAGTTTTACTGCTGAAAATCAACATGGTTTTACTTGAATCTGGCTACAAACATTCAGAAAAAAAATTTCATTGACCTTTACTTCATTTCTTCAGACCGATATTAACAAATTTCATTAATTTTTATTATTGATAATAAATTTTATAATTGATTTTCCAGTTCTGCCTTATTTGTGCAGATAAATTACAAAGAAATTTTAGTTACTCTTGAAGTTTAAAATCTAAAATGTTGGAATCATCATGAAAAAATATCAAATAATAACAAATAACATGGCATATTAAAAAACAAAATCAATATATAATATAAGTTATTGAAATATCCACGTGAAAAACATTTGTTGATTCTTATCATAAATATCTGTAATGAAAATCAAGTTTCGGAAATTAAATATTTTAAATATAAAATATTTTAAATATTAAATAAAAAAAAAATACTTCCATGAATAAAGGAGTGCATCAGCAATTTTTGGAATAAAACCAAAAACATTTCTTACTAGTTTATTTATCAATACAAAGTGAAAAAAAAACCCATAGCTTCAGAAAATTTCCTAAGAAAAAATTCCCCTACTCTAACCCAAATAAAAGCTTGCCCTTGATTTTTGAATATTATAATAGAATTCCCTGTAGTTGTTTTTTCTAATTTTCTTGCTCTTTAGCCATCCCGTCTAATTAAAATTCTTAGTATCTTTACAGTTTTGCTTGATATATAATAAGTAAAAGAAATAATAACTGTACTTTTATTGTTGTAAATAAGAGACACTAAATGAACAATACCTAATTAAAGTAATAATTTCTTTATTTCTCCTATTTGTCCCTTAAATTCTTAAAATTTATGCTTGTAAAATACAGGAATCCAAACCTACAATGGTTCTTTTCCTTTTAAGAGGAGCTACTTTATCTTAGTTTCCTGTAATGATATTTAAATACAAAATAAAGAAGTTTATCCCAAATTTATAAGTCAAATTTTTCCAGAATATAGATTAACTTTCTATACATTCAATTACAATGCAATTAATTTAATAATTCAATATATTTAATTATAATATATAAGTTTCAGAACAAGTAAATTAATTTGTTCACAAAAAGAAAAATTTTTTCAATAAAAATTGTTACATAATTTTTATACATGATGTAATTTGTTTTCAACTACATATTTGTTTCTATTTTTTTAATTGATTTTATAACTAAACTGAAAATTATTCTTAAAATTAAAAAGTACAGAGATTAAAATTTGCACTAAAATCACATTAATCATGTGAGATTCATCTCTAAATAAATTGAACAAATAATTAATTGAACATTAATTAAATATAACGGGTTCAACGAATATCTCATTACTGAAGAATTCTGCATCAATAAACTCGAAAGTTAATGATCATCCTATTAATGCTTTAAAATTTTAACTTTTAAATGCTCGACTAGAAATTTTTTTAGACTTCTAGAAAACTTTTTGTGCCGAACAAAAAGATTTTGCTAGACATTAATTTTGGCTGAATGAAAACAAAAAAGAAATTTTTTTGTCTTTTCTAATACTAATATAAAAATATTTTTCTTGATGTGATTCTGAAAGAATACAATGGATATCACAGGGTTAAGATAAAAATAATATAAATTGCTAAATGTTTTAAGTAAAATATTTTTCACATTAAAATGATAAACAAAGAAAACAATTATGAATTGTAGTAAAAAAATAAAAAAGCAGTAGTAATAAATCTTAATCCAATCGAATTATTACAATCGAATAAATTATTATATAAATTCTTTTTCGTTCTAGGACGTAATTAATACATTTTTTAAAAAAAAATAGCAAATTGATTACTTACTGTGGACATAATGAGCTTAACTTTTTCAGAGTCACTCAGTTTTTGAAAATCAGATAAATTTAGGTCTTTTTTTATTCCACAATCATAAATTAAAATTTCTGAAGTCTTCAAATCATCATACAATTTATCCACACCCTAAATGATGACAAAGATAATTTAGCATATGGTTGGGAAAAAAAAGTTCAGTCTTCTTCATTATAGTATCATTACAATTAAACAAATCGTGAATTGAAAATAAATATGGTTATAAGCATAAAAAAGTAACAAAGCTATTAAATATTATGTAAAAGTAATAAATATAATGTGACACGAAATTCACGTAAAACATATTTTAATATGTTTTCATACAAAAAAAAAGATTTTACATATTAAACTGAATTTAAGAAAAAAAATGTGACCACAATTCAGATGCTTTAAAAATCAACATTCAATGAAGTATTAAAACAACCATTTTTTTTCTCAAAAACACTTCCAGCTTTCATAACTAAAATTTATATCAGTTGTTTAAAGTAGATAACAAGAAAAATGTTAAATCATGTAACATTTGATCTATAATTATAAAATAAGAGGCACTTCTCTTAGAACTCCCGCTAACCTGAGAAACATTAAACTGCTAACAAAACAAAAAATTCTAAGACAACAAGAAACTTTTTACAGGAGCCTGATATCATATGACCCTTCCTAGGGCTATCAGGATTTTATGTTTCAGATTGGACACAAGTTTCTACAGATTCACTATATTGGACTTGTAGACTCTCCTAACTGCATTTTGAGTGAGAAACACGTTGACATGAATGATCTTTAGAACGGTTCTGCCACACAGGAAGCCTGCTTTTATTGTATTTCAAGAAACACTCCAACCTTGAAGATATCTCTTTTGGCATTCAATTGCAGAACTTATGCTTCGTAAGCAAATACAAGGTTGTAATTAAAAAAAATAATTAAAAAATTAACTCGAAAGAAATTATGATACACGATTCATAATCTACTTTCACAAGCTACACAAAATAAAAGTTAAAGAAATAAAATATGTGAATAGAATTAATGTTAATGTAAATAATATTGCTTAATATCTGCACAAATAATGATGAATCTAAACAATATGCTAAATAATAACTCCGAAAGATATTATCAGTATGTAACTAACACATTTACATCAACCTTCTTCAATGGAATCTTCATCAAGGTATCCTTTTAAAATTTGAGAGGTCTCAAGTTTAGGCTTCACATATTTCTTTTTTGATCTAGTTACACACTTAAAGTAAATATTTACACTTAATTGTCGAAATATAAGATGATTGGGCTTCAATGAGTATGGTAAATCTTTCATAAAAGCATGCATGATTGCAATGCTTTTTCGTAATTATCCCTTGTTAGTGATAGTAAAACTGCCTTATGTTTTATTCTCAGATTTTAATGTTTTATTCTTGTCTTTCATAAAATATTTTGCTCACACCAAATATTTACCATTAAAAAAATTCCATTTTGTAACAATAAAAGCAATAGATTTAAAATTTTAATATCCTTAATTGAAGAGTTGAATGCCACCTTTGGCTACATGTCTGAGGCTGTAGCAAAATAGAAAAGAGAAGTCCAGCTCTTCGAATACCTAACTAAAGCATGAAACTGCTCAGTACGGTATGCTATACCAGAACATCAACTTCAAGGCAGAGCAACATACACTGATTAAGCAAAGCATCAAATGTACTAAGATCCTACGCATGAGTAGGCAAAATGCCGGGGTGTATATTACCTGAATCATTTGTTGTTTAGGTATGGAGACTCCCACTAACCACCCTTTTATTCTATTTCAATATGCACTAGCAGATATAACAGCATGAATGATATAACATAATTTTAAAAGAAATAATTTAATAAAAAGTACAGCACTGTTTATAAAAAAATGCAAAAACAAACCAAAAATAAAAAGAGAAAGCTTAAAAAAATCAGCAGTGGTTAAGGGTAGAGGCGGGTGTAAACCCGTTTCAAGAAGAGTTCCTACTGTTGTAACCCAAAATGTTTCCTCCTCTGCACTGTAAAACCATAAAGAGACTAGTTTATATTGTGTCTATAGAAGCTAGCCATTTTTTCCTATGTAGATTATTTGGCTGTAGACTCCTCACCCCTTCCGTGCACACCTTTGAGGGCGTTACGAGGGAAAAATTTCCCTAAAAATGAAACATTATTGATAATAAAAACATAAGAGTGTATTAAAATGTTTACTTGTATGCTCCTTTGCATTCCAAGTTTCAAAAGTTGAAGAGCATCATCTACAAGTTCAGATCTTGCTTCAATTTGCTGTGCTCTTTCAATAAACCATTCTGTAACTACTTCAGATAATAATGAATAATTTCTGGAAATAAAAATAAAATCACTTTTAAGTTAGTTAGAATTCTATAAAATAAAATTAATTACATCAGAGAAATTAGAAAAAGCTTTAATTCAATCTTTTCTTAATTAAATGTTAATTAAAAATTCACTAAGTTCTCATTATCTGTAGTAATTGTGATTGTACCTAGTTTAAGAAATCAAAATATTTGGATAATAGAAGTAACATTGTTTTTATATCTATTTCTAGCAGTTAACAATAAAGATATTTTATTTTAAAATCTGTTTGCATTACTCTCCTAAATAGCAGCGTTCCTTCTCTCTTTTTTTTTTTTTTAAATAAAACATTTGTACAAAGCTGCATCCAATTCTGAATCATTAACTGATTTCAATGTTTTGTATTCCTTAGTAAGAACTTCTCCTGATTCCATTTGCACTATGATAATAAATTTTTTCTTGCACAAATAACACAACATTTTTTGACAGCAGAAGTAGGTGCCATAATGGTCAAAGTAAACAAAGTAATATTATAGAAGAGTGTTGAAGCTTCAAATAATTTTCACAACTAAATTTTCATTTTCGATAATTGCAATCAGATTTATCATATAAAGATAAGCGTTAAATACACAAATGTTTTCTTCTCCATTTTTGAATCCTGATTTTTTCGCCATAAAACAAGATTAATATGACAGTTAATTAAAGTAAAAATTGCAAAAAGTAGAATTGCAGTAACATCTTGTTGTTCCTCGGTACAATTTTACTTGAATCAATTTTATATCATAAAAAAAAATTTAATTCTTTAAGGCACTATATTAAGAAAATATACATTGCAGATACATTAATCTTAATTGGTTATAAAAACAGTCAATGTAGAATTGCAATAAATGAAGGAAATATGAGCTTTTACATCTGAAAATTTCCTGTAATATTTATTGGATATCAATTAATTAGGAATGCAAGAAGAAAGACAAGAATTAAAAAACCTTAATAAATTAGAAACTCCAATGTAATCTAACCAGTGAAATATTCTACTCTTTTAGAGAACAAACTAAAAGCATTTTCACTTCCAAATAAAAAATAACGTTATTCAGTACTGCCTCATCTTTACAAATTCTGACCAGGTCAGTTCATAACGCTATAGTAGATCTGGTTTACTAGTAGAGATACGTCTGGTTGTGGTGCTAATGCACTACATAATGTATTTAGATTAGGACCATTCACTACACTTTATAAGTTAAAATAGGTAATTCCGTTTGGTCTTAAGGCAAAGAAACTGATTGTTTTAGAAAAAGAAAATTTTTTTATTGAAACCAAAAGACACATATCAAAATTTTATGTCATAGAACAAGTTTAATGTTTTTAAATTCATGACATAAAAATATTGTAATAATACGTTTGGCTAAAATATACTTCTTGTGTTTTAAAAAGCATTCTTTTACAGCAAAAGACAAAAACATTAAAACATACGCAAATGTTAGAAAATATTCACAAACATCCTCTCTATACTATCCAAAGATACAATCATTTTTTTTAACAAATCTGAATCTTTATTTTCTTAAAACTAAAATATTTAAAACATTTTGTCTTTTACCAATTAAAATTCAGTTTTTTTTCTTTAAAAAAGAATTATTACTAAAAAATTTACTTTCTATCACAAAAACATTTGCTGTGATGACATCCATAGCTTAGAAATAAAAGTAACACTCAGGGTGGCCACTCAAATCAGATTTCAAATTTCCCTGATTTTTCCAGATTAAAATCTTAAAATTTCCAGGTCCGTGTTTTCTTTTTTCTTTTATTATAAAGTGTAGGGTTTGTACAAGAAAAGTGTCTGTATTATAAAATATTTTATGCAAAATGTCATTTTTTAAAACATATAATCTTGAGGGAAAAAATTTTTTTTGACAAGATTTTGTTTTTTAATTTTTTAGTGCAACATTAATTTTTTAATAATTAAGACCGGTGGAGAAAATAATATGTTTAGCTGGTAGAATATATTGTTTTTATTGAATAAAAATTTTTTAATGTGTTACTTTAAGTAGTATTTGCTCAAAGTGTACCTGCAAAATGGCAAAAACAGAATGACCAATAAAACCTTGGATAAGCATTGTTTAATATATTTTCTTTAAGCAATGGAAAACCGTTTCAGGTTTTTATATATCAACAAATTTTTATAATTACAGTGGCTTCCAAAAGTGTTCGTTCACTTATAACTTTTATTGAAATGGGAAATAAAAATTCAATAATTAAAATGAATATTTCACAATGGGTATTTGATTATAAGATGTATAATCTAATCTTAGCAAAACGGCATGGAAAATTTTAAAAACAAAGCAAAATTAAATTTTTAAGATATCAATAGTCAAATAGCAACAAAAATTTTACCCCACGAAAGTCATCGTACAGTTAAATGTTTTCCGATTTCAGAAATAAAATTATCGTCAATTGCTTGAATTTTTTTATTTAATTGTTTTTCATTAAATTTTTTATTTATTTATTTGCAATTTAGTATGTAACTTATGATAGCAAACTTATAGCAAAATTATATTTTAATTTTTGCTCGCTAACTCCATAATATTTTATTTCATCATTTAAAAATGCCTCGTGGTCGTAATAAAACAATAGACCAAATTTGATTATATGTCATCATAAGAGGTATATCACTAATGAATACGTTAAATTAGTTTATTGTGTCCTATGGTAATATGTGATAAAATGCTTAAAAGAAGGACTTCATATCAGAGATTAAAATTATAAAATTGGTGGAAAAATTCATGAATTTCCAATTGAGTGTTATAAAAGTTTGGATAAAATTTTAAAAAAATATTCTGCACAAATTTCACCCGACAAAAAAAAAACTAGTTACACGTATTTACAAACTTATAAAAGCTATTGTAGATGCGAAAGGAAACTCTACTAAATGTTAAATTAAACGAAAAATTAGAATATTTACTAATAGACAGTTTTTTTTTTTTTTTTTAGTGTGATAAAGTTTTTGTCATTTTTTGATGATTGATTTCTTAAAAATAAACTTTTCCTTTGTTTTTAAAATATTCCATACAGTTTTGTTAAGATAAGAATATATTTTTTATTATTAAATATTCATTCTGAAATATTCTTTTTAATTAATGGATAATCTTATTTCATTGACAGTCATAAGTGTACCAACACTTCTGAGAGTCACTGTAATTACATTTCAATATAAAGCTGTACTGTATACTGCATTATACTGTATTTTATCTTACCAATGCTTTTATAAAATTCATTGATCATATTTTCTTTAAGCCAATATTTCAAGTCAAATTTTTAAATAATGTTGTTTTGAGATAGCATTATTATTTTAAGAGATTCAGTATACAAAAATAAATGTCACAAATGTGAAATTGTCTAATTTTTTGTTCCATACACTATCGGGGGAGAAAAAGATAAAATTCCTTAATTTTATACTTTTTTGATTTTTTTTTATTACTTGAAATTAAAACTTTTAAAGAATTCCAATCTAAACACACAGCTTCTTAGTTTAGCGTTTAGCATAGTTAATTGTTTTTGTGTTTTAAGAACTAGAAACTTGTACAGCACGCAACTAAAACACTAAGTTTCATTTTCCTTCTTCCGACTAAACACATATGAATAAAAAAAATTATATTTTATGTTTATACATCATTTAATATGTTTCCTATATAGTACTTAGTCATTGTCAGCTTTTTAGGGATAGTTTGGGAAATATCATGTCTGGTATACAAGCAGCATTTACAAACTTTCGATATTGTGATAACCATACAATTCGAATTTTGAATCAAAAATCAAATATTTACCAACAAAAAAGTAAAATTAAAATATGCTATAAAAGGTTAAAATGAAATAGAAAAAATTAGCATTAATGCAACAACACTGCTGTCAGCAATTGTAAAAACATGTTTGATTGGTTGGTTTGCTGAGAAAAAATAATTTACAGGTTTCTTTGACTGGGAGTACAAAAGCTTTCAGAAAAAGAGTGCAATATAAAATCTATTATTATAAAATTATAATCAACTAATTTTTGGAGAATTTTATTAAGTTAAAAATACAAAAACATTTTGTCAAAATGGAAAAAAATTACCACCACAGCATCGGAACAAACTTGAGCCATAAAAAGATTCAGCCTACGGACAAAATTTAAAAACAGAAGGAAATATCTTTACCCCTTCTTCCACATCCAGCACAATCTTTGCTTTTCCTAAATTGCACAGTCCCATAGTGATCAAAGGTTTCTACATTTGTTTAGCAACCATGGGAGAATTTTATGTGACATTCTAGTTTAACAGGGTTATAATGGAGCAAATTTCAATGCAAGCAAAGTATAGCTAAGTTGAAGACATTTTAACTGTTTGGAGATACATTTCCGTCTAAAAAATGTGGGTATAATGGATGAAATAATTTAAATTAAGAAAAATAGTAAATAATTTAAATTAGTGAAATAAAAAAATATCTCAGAAAAAATTTCCAGCTCTTCTTTAAACTTCCCTAATTTTTCCAGGTTTTCATCCTAATTTCCCTGATTTTTTCCAGTACAAAAAAATTCCCTAATAATTCCAGGTTTTCAAGGTTTCTCAGGTGGATGGCTACCTGAACACTATAGTTAACACTAAGTTCTTATGGTTTCAATTATCAATATTATCAGTATATCAATGTAGTTAGTTAAATTTCTTCTTATCAAATTATTCATATAATTCTTCTTCGAAATTATATATAACAGCAGATGCAAAAAATTCTTTTTCTTCTACTTATGATAAGATCCGCTATTTATGGTAGTATACACTTTGAAAACCACAGAATTAAACCAATGCATAGTTTCGCATTTAACAAAAATAGTGTTTTTGAAAATTCTTGAATTTAACAGAATAAAAGATATTAAATTATATTGACACATATGCGTAACATTATTAAGCGTATATATAATATAAGTAACCAAAAAAATTATAATACCTATATTTCACTAGCCCTTTGTTTTTTCATAAAATTCTTCTATGTATTCTTTGGGGTTAACAATCCTAGAAAAAATTTATCGGTATTAACAACACCACAACTGATTTTTTTAAAGTAAATAATAGCAAAAATAAATTAGTACAGTTAAAAATGCCTTATGTTTATTAGCATAGAAAAAAAGGAAAATGAAGCTTAAAATTTTATAAAATGGATTTCATTCTTCCTAATTAAAAATATTTTAAACTTATTTGAAAAAATTAAATAATTGAAATTTTCACTGAATAGAAGGACCAAAGTTTTTCTTTTAAAAATTTATGTAAGATCCATTTTAAATCTTAAAATTAAAGTTTATTTGCTGATTTGAACAGGAAATCTGACTTAGAAAGTACATTAATATTTATTATTTTGAAAATACTCATAATTAGTAATAACATAACAACAGAACAAAGTTTAAAGTAAATGAATACATTCTTAAAATAGTTTATGCATTTCGATTGAAAATAAAAAAATTAAAACATTTTTTGAATTAAAAAAAATGAAAATTCCAAATGAAATTTAATGTACATTTGCTTTAATTTATATACTTTAAATAAATAAATTAAAAAAAAACATCTTTCTGATTGATTGAAAAATTTATCGTCAATTGCTTGAATNAAAAAAAATGAAAATTCCAAATGAAATTTAATGTACATTTGCTTTAATTTATATACTTTAAATAAATAAATAAAAAAAAAACATTTTTCTGATTGATTGAAAAATTAGAAAGAGTCGCATCAAAACTGGGACTTAACGGCTACAAGACATACATTCTTACCACTAATTAATGTAAATAAGAATACATCAAAGTTACTTTAAACTTAAACTCTGAAATAAAAAATTTATCTTAAACAAACAAAAAAAAACAACTAACAAATATCAATACTTGGCAAAAGAGTAATCTAAAAAAGAAACACAAATGATTTGCAAATATTGGTTTCTTTTTTTATGACACTTTGTCAAGATAATACTTATTAGATAATTAAATTATAATTTGAATAAAATATGCACAGTGAAATTTTGTTTTTCAAAAAAGTTTTTTCCCCCTAAGTGGCTAAATTCATTTTAGCGAAAATATGTAAACATGTAACTTAAAGTGTGAAAGTACATTAAAATATGAATACCCATTAACACAAGTTTTCTTTGCAAATTTGCAACCAAACAGTTTTTTTTTATTGAATAATAAAGTAATATTCAGAAAAATGAAGAACATGTTGAGCAAGGAAATAACCAAGTCTAATCTTAAACTAAAATCACACCGGGATGTATAAAAAGATGGATATAATAGCTTCATCTTTTACAGAGCTTACAAGCAATTAAAAAAAATTGTTACAAATTAAAAACCTGGTTTATTTATTTTTTGATTTAAAAAATTTGAATTCAAATTAACAACTAATAAAGAGAACACTTACTTGTCAAATTCATTTTCACACCAGTCAGGCTCTCTAACTTTTTGTTCATGCCATTGATAAAAAACCATATCTAAATCACTGCTAAGAAAAAGATAATAGAATAAGACAATTCATTTCATTTATCATTACTTTGAAGAAATAATTTAGCTGAAAAGACAAATAGTTCCAAATGATGGGAAAAGACTAAAAAATCTTATAGTACAAAATAAAAACAATAACTTTTTAAGGACTATAAGTTGCACTACTCCGGTACAAAGTTTTCTTTTTAATAGAATTGATGGCAATGTAAAAAATTATAAAAGATTATAAATTTTTTAAGAAAGAAATATTAAGTACATAACATCGATCATGCCTTCTGCAATGTAAAATCTGATTTGTATATCATTTGAATACAGTATCTAAAACAATAATTAACTGTCATTAGAAGCATTTTTTGTCTTGAAAGCACAAATTGATTGCCACTTGTTAAGGCAAAGAGGCTAACTTGGAATCTGGCCTACAGCTTGGTAAAGCCTCCTTAGACAAATGCAATCTTTTAGTCAATGGTCCTTTGAATCAGTAACTAAATACTCTTNCTTGAAAGCACAAAATGATTGCCACTTGTTAAGGCAGAGAGGCTAACTTGGACTCTGGCCTACAGCTTGGTAAAACCTCCTTATACAAATGCAATCTTTTAGTCAATGGTCCTTTGAATCAGTAATTAAATACTCTTAATTTTTCTTCTTCTAAAGAACTTAGACTAACATTAGTAGTTTCATACAAAAAGCAACAGTATAGTGTGCAAAATAAAATAAAAATGAACACCTCAATATCTTTTGGCCTAATGATTTTATCTTCATGTACTAAGATGCTAAATTAATAGAATTATTAAGATAACAACTTAGGGCATAAAAGACTATAAAGGTGATCGCTTCTATATTTTGCACATTGTATATAACACACTTGTAACAAACAAATTAATAAACATTAAATTTATAAATTTATGAGCAATCCACAATAGGAACTTACTTGTAATTTTTACTTTTTTTAAAGAACTTAGACCAATATTTGCAGCTTCATTCCTAAAGTAACAATATTAAGAAAGCAAACACTTCAATATTTTTTGACTTAATAATTGGATCTTTATTAGATAGCCTTGTAGAGATTATCTTAATGATTTGATTAAGATAGCTCCTTAGAGCCAACCTTTAGATCAAATGTTATTAAGGTACTTGCTTCTTTATATTGCACACCCTACATACCACACTATTAACAAACATTTAATCTATAAATTTATGAGGGATCCACAATAGGAATTTGTACAGAGGTAACAGAGACTCGGAAGGTGAAGTGGTCTCAGGAAAAATAACTGAGTATTCCCAGGCGGTGCCTTTGCTACCATATAAGTGAAAGGCGTTGCTACCGCTTCCCAATTAGAGTAAAAAGAAAACTGAACGGTCGCTTTCAGGCCACAATGGGATCGGAATTGTTTGAAAAACTTGGGATCAAAATGCTGTTGTGCTGCAACAGCACCACCTAGGATTATCTAGAGAAAAAAAAAACTTAAACAAAGTTAAAAGCTTGATGATGTTCACATTCACTAATTAAAATATAATAAACATCCCCATAGCAATCTTGCTAATTTTAGCTAAAAATTTGAAGCACCCTTAATTGATATTTTATTGTATCCTGATTGAATCCTAGGTAGTATTCCTCGGTCAGGTAAATCCTAGGTTTATGGTATTCTTATTGAACTATCTAGTCTAAAATATTTACATTCCTAGACATATATTTTCTACCTAAGAGAAATTTTTTTTCAAAATTAAAATGTTATCAAACCTAGGATATGCAGGGCAATATAATTTTTAATTCTTGAGGCCCGTGCACATAAAATATTCAGGAGTTGTTAGATGGTCTAGGGCAAAATTAAGAAACTTTGGCAACAGCCAGTTGCAGCATTTTTAACAGTAGAAACTTTTTCAAAAATAGAACATTTTAAATGGTTAAAAATTGTCAATAAATAATAATATCAGGCATTCTCTCGAAATATGGTAAATATTAGAATTGTAAAATTTTTAAAAAACAAGTGTGAAATAAAATAATTTCCTAAGTGTTAGGAAATATTCATATTATTTCCATATTTATTTAAAAAAACAAAACCACATTCACATTTTTCATTCGTTTCCACATTTTTAATAAAAGGTGGCTACTGGCAAACAAGTTTTTAATCACTATTTGTAATAGTTAGCCACCCTGTGGCAATCATTAATTTAGAAGTAAGCCCAACCAAAGATTAAATGTTATTGGCTTAATAGTTGTTAAATTTTGATTCATGAAAAAATTTGAATGAGAGATGACATCGATTGAGAACATAGTGAATATTTTATCTGGCATTATAGCCGCGTTGAACAGTGGACCCTTTTTTGGGATTATAATTACCAATGTTCAACTCCATAGCCTTGTAATTTTGATCCCAATCCAGAAGACAAGGGAACTCCTGGATCAGGTAATGGGAGAAATTTGCCTGGAGGACTTTTTTTGATGGTATTAACCCGAATTTGCATTACATGAAGAGAAAAAATACAAAATCTCCCACTGTTAGCCTGACAGTAAAGGGACTCTAACCCATGATCAATCTATCACTGAGGATATTTTACATCAGCACTGTGGTCGGTGTGAGTCGGGTGCAGAATTTGCATTGACCAGTCATTACCGGGATTCAAACCCGGTTCACCTCATTGGGAGGTGAGCGCTCTATCCCCTGAGCCACTGTGGCTATCTTGAGGGGCATACTTTAGATATTCTAAACAATAAGTGCTGAAAATATTTAAAATTACAAACACCAAAAGGTTACATACCCAGATTAAACCTTTCTCTATGAAATATGGTATCTTTGTATAATCATAAGATATTCAAGATGAGTACTTTTTGTGCTCCATACTCGAGCTTTATTTTATTTCAGAGAGTTAATTTTGCATTTTCTTAAACTTTCTCAAGAAATAAATTGTACATTATTTACCAAAGTAAAGCAGGAAAAAATATGTATGGCTTTGATTGGAATATTGATGCTTAGAGTCTCAAAATGAAAGAGACCAGTAAAACAAAAAATAGAGGAATATTTAATGCAAAATTTGGTTACAATTTTTTAGTCATTTACAATTCTGCAGTAAATAAAAAAATTTAACTTGATTCTATGATTCTCAAAAGGAATATATGTACATAATTCAGCTACTGTAAATATAGCTAAATCTTACAAGAGATTGGCTAGTGAAGAGTACAAATTCCTTTTAATTACTTCTTATGCTATTTTCATATCATTTCATTTATGCTATTTTCATAACTAACAATAACACTGAATTAACAATTACACCCAAAAGTATATATCAATATTAAATTTTGACAAAGTGTAATGTCTTTCAGTAGAAAAGAGCTAAATTTTATTGATAAGAACATTAAGACAATTCAAATTTAATAGTCAGACAAGAAAAGTTATATCATTCAACTTTGTAGTGCTCGTTAAAAGATTTTTTTAAGAATTTTAAATCGTTCGTTTACTTAATTTTAAAATATTGACATTGATTATTCTTGCATTAGGCTCTCGACATGATAACATATTATAACATCAGCATAAATATTAGTATACAAAAGAAGAAATAATTTGTTGAGTGATGTAAACATGTGTTTAATTGCCTTTAAACCACAGAGAGAAAAAAATGCTAAATGAAAACAATAAAATTTTATTTTAATCAAACATCAAATGACACTTTAAAATTTATGAAACTCATTACTTCTTTAGAAATACATAAATTAAGAGACACATTAAGAGAAAAAAGTTTAAGAATAAATGTAGAAATAAAAGAAAACTAATGCTACCTCATAAATAGTTAGCCTGTCAACATAATTTAGAAGTATTTTCATAGTTGCTTCCGTTCCAGATTAAGTCTGAAAATTAATAAGAGATATTTATTATTTTGCTACAAACTGATTATGTGTGGACCCTGTTGTAAAAAGTAATAATAGTTTAGAGAAAAAGCAGATTTTCCTAAAATATATATTTATTACAACATATTTCTGCAAGGAAAACCTAATTGTTTAGAAATTGGAGAACATTACTGTAGCAAAATGGATTAATCACTTTTTAACCTATGAGGTCTTCTCATATAATCAATTTATGTTATTTTATAGTAATTCTTAAAAATGTGTGCAAACAATGTTTTACTATGATTACTTCTACACCTTCTGAATAATATAACTTAACATAATTTTTTTACATTGTTTTCGTTAAAATGGTTACAAAATTGTATGGATTTCAAAAATATGGTGACATTCATATTCAATGCCAAGATCAAAGAAAAGCCATGATCTCCAATGAAACTGTTGCTGAAAAATTTAGTGTTAAGGGATTCTGAGATTTGTACAGCATTGAATAAAAGAATTGTACAATCTTCTTCTCCCAATAAAGATAGTATTAACTCAACACATATTTATCATATTATATCATATTTATCATATTATATCATATTTATCATATTATATCATATCATTTTATATCATATTTTATTTTATAACTGGCATTGAGTAGTCAATCCAGTTTCAGGTTTACAACTATCAATGCTTAACTATGTTTTCTTGTAAATTTTGAACCTAACCCAGAAGACAAGACAACTCCAGGATCAAACATTGGGACTAACCAACCCTTGTGGTGCTCACAATTTTTGCACAGAACTTCCTTTATAACACCAAAATAGAAAAACTGTGTTTCAGAAGATATCATTTTTAACAATTGGAAAACATTTTCTTGAGAGTGTAGTGACAGATAAAACTAGTCCATCAAATTGAGAGAAAAAAAGTAATTAAAAACAAATTCCTCAAAAAAGACGATATTTTACAAGGTCTAATAAGCAAATATACTACATTAGAGAATAAAAGAAGGATAGTAAGTATGTAAGTACAAAGTATTAGTAATCATATGTGTTCACCTTTAAGACAAGTCAAAATTACTAATGCATATTTCTTCGAAACATATTTCACAATTTTGTTAAAAATATATAATTGATATGTTTTAAAACTAAATTAATAACGATAAAACCAAATTGAAGAGAATTTAATTATTTCAAAGAATAATTGACTTAATATAGCTTAATTAGTAGATTGTATCACTACAAGGTTTCAAAATTAAAAAATTAGAACATAAAATGATAATTAATTACCTAAAAAACTTTTTTACTTTCATAATTCCAAACTCCTTTGTTAGTGTCAACAAAGCTAAAAAAAAAAGAAATTAAAGTGTTAATACCAGCATTTAAATCTTTTAATTGCAATTTTGAAAGCTAAAGAACTAAGTGAACTTGTAGGTGTCTCACACTAAGAAAAGAACATGAAAAGAATATATAATACACTTAATTTATAAGCTACAAAAAATCCAAGATGTCTAATAAAATCAAAATTAAAAAGTTACCAACATTTCATAACCATAAATACTCATTTCAAAAACATATAAATGTAAATTTTGAATATTTTCGCTGGATCAAGGAATCTAGCATAAAATTCCGAAGTCTAAAAAAGTTAAAGCTTTCCAGAAAGATCAATGCTTCCTTATTATGAAAAGCTCCAGAAATATTTTCTCTCAGAATTTTAAGATATAGTAGCTGTTAGGATATTTTAAAAGATTTTGAGCACAATGAAACTTTCAAAAAAAATTATGTTATTTATGCCCACACAAATTTTATACCAACTATAATGCACAGAAGATTTAGTAGCTTTTGAAATGAGCTTTGGTTCCTTTTTGATTTGAGGCAATATGACATAGTATCTGTTTCAGTAGTAGAAAAAATAAAACTAGAAATGTTTTTCCAAAGAAAAAAAACTATTTTGCAAAAATTTAATGAATATTTTCAAGCAAGGAAGCATTGACTGCAAGGAAGCATTGATAAATTTTTTCAATAGCTTCTAAATAATGTAAGTCCAAAATAAAACAAACTTATTTAACCAAGATGACTTGAATTAATCAATAACTCAAAAAAATGGTAGGTTCTTCTTCTTGCCTAATAAAGTGTTCATAGTTTGTTCATTAGAAAACGAAACTAATTTCAACACAATCGAGCTACAGATCTAACCTCACTATCAGATCTTACCCTTTTCCTCCCATCATAAATTTAATTAAAAATATCACAACTTAAAATTTGCTTTACTGCAATTGAGTGAAAGGAAAAGCCTTTTCAATAAATACAAGAGGTGGATATTTCCGTATCATGATCTGTCGCGCCAACTAGAATTGACAAGGTGACAAATAGATTTGAAACTAGCAATTTAAAAAACAAAACATGTGGATGTTTGTCCAGGGATTGCTACGAGTTATACTTTACGAGTTGATCCCTTTTTGTGATGTTTTTATAAGTTTGTCGCGGGCCACTGATGGAAGTTCCCAAGACTTGAAAATTATTCTGTCACAGATTACAACACGGAAATCTACTCAACAAGGAAGAAAACACTTACTTTATTATGTTTATTAGTTGCATTCGGAATCCACACTTGTTCTTCAGAAACTTTTTATTTTATGAATTGCAAGCTCCTCTGGAAAAAAAAATAGTTCATCAAACATCAAATTTAATTATTTTTTACCACAATACAATAACCAAATTAAGTGATATTGATTTTTATGTAAATAAGGGGATAGTGAGAAACCACAACACTGAGGAATAATATGAGCAATTGCTGGAAAATCTTTCTAAACAAAAGAAAAAAAATTTATTAAAATTTGAAATAATATACCAGGGTAAAAGAAACGAAAAAAAAACAAGGAAATTTTACTACTTTGAAAAATAGCTAATAGAACAAAGGATTGGTAAAAGGTTGAACTGTTAGAAACAAACAAATAGAGTAAAATAAAGCTGTAACAATAGTTTCAACTACTATTGATATTAAAATTAATTTGATATTGCAATATACTTCTTAGAAATTTTATATAACTCCATTTGGATCAAAAATTAGTAAACATAAAATAAACCACAAGATTATATTTTTCACAAGAATAAAGCTCAAAAATTCCAAAATAGGCAAGATCAAGAATAGACAGGAGTTCAAGATTTGCTGTGATATAAATCTACTTATAACATAGACATACAAAAAGAAATGAATAGTTTTAATTTCAAATAAAAAGCAGACGAGTTGTAGAATGTTTAATCTTACAACATTTGTCGGCGAAAATTCTTCAACCCATGCTCAAAATTATCTTTTCCGCACTGAAACAAATCTTCGTGTTTCCGCTTTTGTGAAGTCCATAATAAAGTGGAGTTATTATAATCAATGCAGTTTTAAGATTTCGCTTTTGCCCTAAAAGCTGTCTTAACCAAAATTATTATTTTGTTGTTTGTTTCACTTATTCTCTGCATGCTTGTGAGTTCAATTATATAATTACGGCTTAAAAGCCATAAAGTATTAAGACTTTATTACGGCTTCCACAGCAGTCATTTGTATTTGTTTATTTTATGCAAGAGCTATAACAATTTTTGAGCTTTATGCTGCAAAATTATGAGCTTTTGGCTTTTTAACGCATTGCAGAGATTTTAACTGTACTACTATGTAAGCTATAATTTAATGTTATATTTTTTTTTTTGATCACAGCCAGTGGGGAATACAGCCAGCCAGTATTTAGCCTGTTTACACATTTTAGCAAGTCAATAATTAAAATATTTGCAACACAAAACACATTGTAAAGTACAAATAATGTTATTATAATGTGTTGTGAAAGAGTCAAATATCTTAAATCTCATCACCATCAAAACAGAAAGGGGAAAAAAGACAAGACAGTTTTCTGTAATGCATAGCTTTAGTGTTTTTATTGAGAATAAAAACATTATTCAGTGCTAATAATATGCTGAAATTGAGGATTTCTAAATAATATGTTATCTCAGTAATAACGACCTCACTTTTGTATTTGATTTTTAATTAAGAATCACTATTGGGAACATAACAGGAACAAGTTCCCTGGAAACATCATGCTTATTTTGCTGCTAACGANAAGTTTAACATCATTCACTAGTATATAAAAGCATGCTAACTTGATTCTATCAAGAGGTACCTTTTGATAGATGACGGTTGGTATAGTCGATAACTCCGCCCCCACAGTTCTTTTATTTAAATACTTATACGTTAGCGTATAGCGTTTTTAATAAGTGCTTAAAAGTTCATGTTTTTTATTTGTTTTTTTAAAAGCTCTTAAAGGTGGTTTTTCTATTCAGGATTTGAAAAAAATGTGAAAATAATTCTATCTTTTGAAAGGAGATTTTTTCTTTGCCGTTTTAAATTACGAAAAAAGCATGATTTTCACAATTTTCTCTGCAATATTTATCAAAAACTAGTTATTTTATTATGTTTATGGTAAGTTTTTTAAAAATTTTATTCAATTTTATTGATTTTGTGTTTATAAATTAGGAACTTAAGCGATAGAAATTTTTTTTTTATGACTGTGCAGATCCTAATTATGATTTTTTTTAAAGTGATTAAAAATATTTTTTGAGTGCTTGAAAAGTATTGAAAAGGTGCTTATTTTTTGTTGAAAAATGTGGTTACGCACCCTAAAATAAAATATTGTTTATGCAGGTTGATGAGGACCTTGAAATCAAAGCTTTTTATGCTGGGCATGTGTTGGGTGCAGCAATGTTTTTGATGTTTTGAAGTAGGGTCACAATCAGTAGTCTACACAGTAAGTCT